GATCCCTGGCTGAGGGGTGGGCTTGAAAGTGCTGCTTCTGCCCGCTCCGGGTAGGGTAACACCTGCACCGGCGGCGATGTCGCGTAGGAAATAGCCTAGGAGGTGCACGGAAAGCACGTTTCAGGTGCCTAAGGTGACCCGGGAGATAAGTAATCCCAGTTGCACAGTGGCAGCTCTGAGACGGGGTGTACGTGAGGAGAATACAATGCTCCCACAATGAGAGCAACAAAAAGCACTGTTATTTTCAGACTTTAAAAAATCTAGAAGCTATTCCGAATAACCATATTGTATACAGTAGCACTGGTTATACATACATTTGAACACATGTTGCTTTTTTCTTGTAAAACGTATGACTTGCCCAAAAATCAAGTGTTAGCAAGTCAAGGTGATCAATCTGAAAGGATTAATAGTGTATGTTTTTTGCCACAGGAACAAGAAAATTGTTGATTATTCTCAATTTGGGGATTTGGAAGATGACGGTAAGTGGCATGTTCTTGTACAAAACAAAAATGCCAAATACTAATGCCACCACCCAAAACATCATTAGTTCATTGAGAAGGCTGTTAAGTGTTTTCACTGGATGTAATCTGGGCACACTGTTAAATATCCTAATTCAACAAGAATATGATGGCTGTAAGCCAGAGTATAACAACAGTATGTCAGGAAACTGGTAAATACGTTGTGTCTTGTTGCAGGAAAATCTATTTCTTCCCCTTCCTCAGTTTTCAGTGGTAATTGCTTGCTCCATGTCCTTCTGATTATCAGTGCGCAGGATTGTAAATCAGAATATAAAGGAAGTGTGAATCATCTGTATGTAGATCTAACCTTTCTCCTACAGCTCTGTATCTGATGGGTTTTGGGTAAGGACATAGCAGTCAAATTTTGAGTTCCATTGATAAGAAAAATAGATTGCAGGCTACTGGTTTTCACGACAGTCCTCCCTTACTTCTAAGCCTAATGGGTGTTACGCGTTTTTCTTACAGAATTTGTTTGCTTTCATGGTTTTTTTTCCCATGCTGTTTGCAGGATACAGGGAACAGTTTGAATTGGTGGGAAGGGGAAGGCAAAAATAAATAATGTTGAAGGTCATGTGTGAATCATATGGTTTAATGCAGTTTCTTAGTTTAAATGTGGTGCATGACTTTTCTTAGTTTATAAGTGACCGCTTGTAATAAGAAAAGTGTAAATTCTCAGAAACATTAGTAATCTTATCTAAGGTTCTCCATCATTTAGAGAATACTGAAGATGATTTTTTTTTTTTTTCCTTATTTTGCACTGTGATCTGCAATGTCTTCAGTTGGAAGAGAGGCAGTTTTCATGCCTTCTAAATTTCTTTGAAAATTGGAGAAATGCATTGCATTTTGTAAGAGGCAATGTGAAAATGGTAGAAAAAGGGGAGCAGCCTACATTTTTTAAGAACTGGAGTCATTAAGGGGAACAATTCCCGAAACACCAAGAGCTCAAAACTGTTTAATGACAGCAATTACTATTATAATTGATTGCTGTTCAGCATATCAGAAGGTGAACTTCTAGTTATTGAAAATCTGGTAACACATTGGACATTGAAGCTTTATTGCCTTATTGGTAATAAAAACAAATCATTACCTCTTGAATAAAAGCATATGCAAAAGACATCTTGTTAAATTTTCATTTAAAATACATTTAAGAACAGTATAATTATAGTTGTTGTGTTCTTTAAAAGTAGAATTAATTTCAAAAAGGTTATCTGTGGTATATTTTCAGTGTGTGATGAAATTAAGTTGAATGACTTCTCTTGGCCATGTGGAAGAATATAGGAAAACTCATTAAAGCTTGTTGCTGTTTCCCAAACAGATGAAGACTTTGCATGTATAGCTGCACCTTCAAGCAAAAAATCCAGAACACAGCTCAAGGAACCAAAGAAGGAGAAAAAAGAGAAGCAAAAACAGCCACACAAAGAATTGACTCCATCACAAAAGCAGACACCTAGTAAAAGGTAAGAAATGTTGAAAAGCGGTCAACTCTCTGTAAAGCTGGATCTCAATAACAATATTTTTTTTTTCTGTTTTTGTTTTCCCTAGAGTTTTAAGCAGCTGAGAATAAACAACTAACATGTTAGTGTGATAAAGAGTTTCAGCTTTATTGGTATAGTTGCAAATCAGGGATAATGTGACTATGCACAGAGTCAGGAAAATGTGCCTGAGTTTGGTAGTGAGCTATGACTATTTTGTTACAGCTCTAAAAAACTCCAGCAAGCGGCCTGCATAGGTGCAGAAACAGGTTTGCATGTCTGATCTTGTCTTGATATCTCTACAGTGCAAAATAACTGTAACAATTTTGAGTTACTGAAGACTCGTGAAACAGAGAAATATAAAGGCAAGTTTGACTCCTTGAAGAAGAACATATTGAAAGTTTGATAGAAAATACAAAGTCAATGTCAATGAAAAAAGAAATCTGATTATTTTGGTGGTAAAGTTGTGTATGAATATTGCATTTCAGTGTAGTATTTCAAGCAAATGTAATCACCTTTTTCTGTGATAATACCAGTTATTAGTTCGTGTATATATATATACACACACACACACAATGTTTTGCGATCATAATACTTCTAAGTGTAGTGTACTTTAAATATTAGGGTATACTTTGTCTAAATCTTTTCAGGAAGTAATATTCATAATATGATATGCTATAAGTATGTACTGAAATATTAATCTCTTTATAAGTATTTGAATTTTAAAAAGTTCAGTGAGTCAGAAGTAGATCTATAACACTCATGTCATTGTTTTACTGTTTAGCATATTTGTTTTTTTTTTTCCAGGATATCCTTGGATGACAAACTTTATCAAAGAGACTTGGAAGTCGCCTTAGCCTTATCCGTCAAAGAAAAATCTGCAAATATTCTTGAGGTGCAAAATTCAGAAGAACAAGGTTATTTTACAGTTCAATGCAACACTCTTTATTTATATGTAGTGAATTTGAATGTGACTTAATTTATTTTACAGTGAAATAGGTTGAAAGTCATGTTTTATTTCAAGATGTCATGATAAGGAAATGAGAATTTCTAGGTAGTGCCTGTCTTCTTATGTTCTTGGGTTTTTTCTGTGAGGAAAAGAACTCTTCTCTAAGTTCTTCCAAACATATAGTTTGATTAGAGACAGATAAAAATGTTAGCTATTTTCATTTCTTAATATCTTGACTTTTTATAATGTGGTTTTTGTATACTAATATTTTATATTATTTTTTGTTTGTTTGTTTTCTGGATCCTAAAACAGGTAAGAATATTGAATCGGAAAATGTACACAGGAGACCTCTTTTTTCCAACTGCAGTGTAGACAGTGAACTTCTAGGTAAGTTGTTCTCATACTCTTTCAGAAATAGCATTTCAAGATACATTTAAGTAGCTTATCTCTTCTTTGTTTCCATTGGTTTCTGTTTTTCACGTACGTGGAAAAAAGAGTATTTATCTTAAATGAAGACTATCTTTTCATTAAAAATTTTGTGCCAGTCTTAAAATGGGAAAATCTGTGGACTGCTGAGTGAGATTGTTACAGATCATTAAAAGTTAGTTGGAAAAAGCAACAGACGTGATGATTTTAGATGCTGAGTTTATTTACTTCTTCAAGAAGTAACTCAACGCCTTAACGGGTCCAGAACGCCTAAGCATCAAATAAACGTGACCAAAACGTTTGCTGTGCCGTTGGAAACTTTTTCATTTTCCAGTTTTATTTTTGGTCTTCTGTCCTTTTGTTAGTTTGGTTACAGATAAATATTGATAACTTTCACAACCAGAAAGTACAGTTTGGTCAGTTAAAAGAGTAAAATGAGAATCACATGAAAACAAGTGCCGATGATATGCTTCTGTATAGTATACTTCAAAATCACAAAAACTAATTCTGGGAACTCAAATACCTGCTTCTTTTTGAGAAGGAGAATAGTTTTACTGTGAATTTGAATTAATTAGACCACCTTCTGTTTTCTAGGTCTCAATCAGGTTATGGATGATGACGTACCTAGGGATGACTGTAGGCAAAGGACAGCAGCATCTAAAGTTCCAGCACATCAGAAGAAGTTACAGACTGTTGACAGTGATGATGGCGAGCATGCTACTGACTCTGAGCCAGAGTCTGTACCCAGTAAGTTCTTCTCTGTAAAAACGCTCTCCTTAGATGTGCTTTGAATGTTATGCCTTACATGTAGTTTATATTTTCAGTGAAATGCATACTGCTTCTACTGTATCTTCCCTCCCCCCCCTTACTGAAGCATTATCTTTTAATACTAGTGGCATCTCAATTGCACTTTGACACTAAATCTAAACATTGGAGCTTATTCATACACATTCCCCAAACTGGCAAAAACGATAGTTCTTCTCTGCATTTGCCGCAGTATGTCAGAACAAATTTATTCTACCCTGTTTGTCCAGGAAAGTTTCATCTCTTTAAAGAGCCTCTGTTCTTTTTTCCAGTTGTTGTCTGGGGTTTGCATCAAAACGGTGACTCTGGAGTAGTGTCAGATGTTAGTGCTTTCAGTATTGGCTTTGTTTAAGCTTATTTAAAAAAATAAGTAGCCTCCCTTCTTTCCTTCCTCCAATTCTCAACTCTTAGAAAACCGTGCTGCAACCCATTGGAGGTCAGCCTAACCTCATACTTTGCTTCTGGTAGCAGCTTAGTATAGAATGCCTGCAGAGTGTGGTAGATGTCTCTCTCTCATTCCCCAATAGTTAACGTGTCTGCGTCCATTCTTTTATTCCTTATTGCAAGGTTTATTGGAAAGTATTTCTAGAATTGTCAGTGAAGTAGAATATCAGGGGGATAATCCAGATATTCCTATTGATAGAGAACTATTTTTGCTGATATCTGGGTTTTTTTAATAATAAATCTATAAAATCTTTCTTACAGCTGAAAATAGACATAGTGTTTTCCCGCTTTCCCACTTACTCATGACTAAGAATGTGTAAAAATAAGAAGCCCTGCCAAATAATTTTAACTTTTTCATCTTGCACACTGGAATATTGGTAATTCTGCTGTGAAAATCATTATTGTATGCAGTTTATACTAGGGTGTTCTGTTATTAAAGTACAGAGCAAGAATTCTGCAAATACAGAATGTTTTATGGTTTTATGGAGGCTATTTCTTTCTCAGTTCAGCATATAAATAATTGCAAATTTGTTTTACTATGTCCTTAAGATATGCTGGTTCTTCATGTCCAGAACGTGATTAGGAGTCCCTGGAGTAATAATAAATTGTATTTCCTGTAAAGAGATGACATCCCTTTTCCTTGCTGTAGGTGAGGAGTCAGAAGAAGATTCAGATTATAGTGAAGGTGATGATGAAGACTTTGCTATGGAAAAGAAGAAAGCCAAAGGAAACAGAAAGAAAACCAAACAAAAGATGCCAGCTGAAAGAGAGAAGAAAACTCCCAAATCCAAGATTAATATTATAGGTAAGTTTGTACTATGAATTTGAAATAGACTTCTTTATTATAAAAGTTCCTTTTATTTCACTGAAGGAATAGATAAATGTGGCTAGCAGACTGACTGCAGGGCTGTGATGAAAATGACTATACGCAGAGTAAAGGGAGGAGAGTAGAAGAAAATCCTGAAAGAAAAAACGCTTTGTAGTAAACTAACACTCCTTACAATAAAAGCAGACAAAAGCGAATAGACAAAGTTCATTTCTTTTTATATAACTATATCTAGCTTTTAAGAAAAGGTTAAATATGAGTGATCTGAGGATTTTTTTTTTTTTAAATTATAATCTCAGAGCCTCCTCTCGCAGTTGCATTTATGAATTTTTAATTCAAGGATAGCTAAACAATGCTAGTTCTACTAACCACTTGGCGAAAAACATTAAATATGCATGCCCTTCAGCGTTAATTGTTCACTGTGTTGCTAACACAATTTACTTTAAATAGCTTAAAATTCTTATCATGGTGTTAATCTTGTGTCTGACTCAGTAATGTGTTTTAATTTCAGGCCTGAGTTTACAACATGTAATTTAGTGTAAAATTAGTTTTAGTTACGACGAGGAATGGTTTGCTTTGTGTAGCTGACAGAAGAATCTTCCCTCTTAGAAATTTGATATCTGGCAGGTCTTCAACAAGAAATTGTTACACTGCTTATTTTCAAACCAGGATTGAAATTCCAGAGTATAACAGACTGACTGTATAAATATATACTGTTAAAGATGTGACAATCTAGTAATATACTCTTTATTTTACTCAATCTGGAGAGCTCGTGCTGTATAGTGATCTATCATCTTAAGCAGTGTGATGATTTCCCTGCTAAAGAGTATCTTTCTATGGTCACTTTTATTTTCCAACTAAGTGTCACCTGTAGTTTCTCCTTCACGGATAACAGAACAAAAATCTGAGCCAACACAAAAGATGATGTCCAGTTCTTCAGAACCAGTTGGGAGGCCTTTACATACATCAAGTCCTGTAACAGACAAGAAGCCTAAATGGATACCACCAGGTACCTGTAAGATTATAACTATGAACAGATATATTAGTTGACTTAAGCTTTTAGTAATCTCTCGTAAAAGCAAAGAAACAAATAAACAGTATTTCAGAAGAACTACTGCCCTCCTATAATGAAAGGTATTCTTTTGACCGTAGACTTAAAAAAAGAAAAAAAAAAAAAGAAAAGCTATCTCCATGCTTCTTTTCCTCTTACAGCATTATCCTTAACTCCTTTATGTGGGGAGGATAATAAAATATTTTCCAGAGTGTGGATCAAATCTTAGTCAAGAGATTGTCTTGTGGCCATTTCTCTCGTATTAAGAGCTTGCTTTATCTCTGGTACGTGCTGCATTATTACCTATTGTAAACAAATAGTATTGGAACAATTTTGGAGTGTTTTGACCGCTCTAGTAAAGCAAATGCTTAGCAGCTTTATTTTCTTAAGGTGTTTGAGCATGCTGCTGCTGACTTCTGCCTCTTTCTTTGATTTTCCTTCATATTTACTCTTCTTTTCTGTACACGTTTCTTTCTATTTGGCTCCTTTCTTTCAAGCTTCCTTTTTGCACTTGGAATTGTGTTCAATTGCGTGATTCTCTGTGGAGCACCTGAAAATGCACGGTATGCTGGGAACACTTTTTATGTGCTGGTCCAGTGTTGCTCCAGTGTGTTGCTGGTTAATTAAAACTGTGCACCATACCTGCTGCATTGGCTCCCAAATGAATTGATTCCCAGTGAGTATGCTGATTTTCATGTGCTTCTGTGGTATGTTGTTCAGACCTTTTTGCAATATCTTTAGAATACTTTTTTGTTCTGCTATGAAAACTATAAAAAGACAATAATCATAGGATTTTTTTTTTCCCTCTAGACTTCTTACACCTTTTTGTTTTAAAATTATTTTCAGCTGCATCAGGAAGCAGTAATAACTCTATGAAATATGTTTCGGTTAAGTCACCTACTCAGTGTCTCAGACTCGGCCTCTCCAGACTAGCAAGAGTCAAACCACTGCATCCCAGTGCTACCAGCAGTTAAGTAGTCAGTGACAAGGTGCCACGTGAAGGAAAAGAGTTTGGAAGGTGTTTTGCTTATAAATAAAAAGTGGGCAGCAAAAGCTTCATGGCATCATCCATTTTGGTGGACTGTGGTTTATGTACGTGCCTAATACTATAATGAGTTTTTATTCTGCAAAATGCTAGACATCCTTAAGTGCTACTGAATAATAATATTATTTAATCAAGGTGACATCAAGGTGACACCAACTCTTTGATCTATTATACTCAGAGATGTGGGTTTGTGATAATTTTAATTCTCTGGTATCCAAACTCTTGGCATTAAAATAGTCTAGACAGCACTATGTCAGTTATAGAATTTGATATCTCAAATGGATCCTTAACACAAGTGAAAGTCACAGTTTAAAAAATATTTCTTGGAAGAGTGAAGTTACCACTTTCCACCCCCTTCTTGGAAAGTTTGTCACCACTCTCTCAAAATCTGTTAATGTTTGCATGTCTTATATGTGGATTTTAATGAATTTTTATGTATTATAGATATAAATGTTTTTTAGAATGTTGTATTTTTTAAAAAACTAAAATAAAATACTTTATATAGTCTAATTAATCATATTAATTGACTTTATTAATTTTGAAAATCACTTCTAAATTTTGGCTACAATCCGGCAAATATTTTTGCGTGTGCATGATCTTATTGGAAGTCAACAGCATTAGCCAGGTGCAGACGGTGAGGAATTTGCTTTGAGCTCCTTCGTCTTCGTTGAAGACCATGGTACCATGCATAGTTAGTGGCTGGTGT